CGTTAACTTCAACACTTAATATCTGTAACATAAATAATTTGTTAAAGCAGAGAATAGTTGATATATGAAAAGTAAATATTTATGTGTACTTTTCATATACCAACTATTCTCTGCTTTAACAAATTATTTATGTTTCGTTAACTTAAACGCTTAATATTTGTAACAGAATATCCGCAGCAGGTCTCCAAGGTAAAGAGCCTCTAGTCGATAGACTAATGTAGGTAAGGGAAGTCGGCAAATTGGATCCGTAACTTCGGAATAAGGATTGGCTCTGAGGAGCGGGGCGTGTCGGGCTTGGTCGGGAAGCGGGTTTGGCTGACGTGCCGGGCCTGGGCGAGGTGAACCGATCGGCGTTCTCGCGCCGCGGTCCCGGGGATCCGAGCTCGGTCCCGTGCCTTGGCCTCCCGCGGATCTTCCTTGCTGCGAGGCTTCCGTGGCGGCGCGAGCCGTCGTGGTCGTCCTCTTCGGCCGCCATTCAACGCTCAGCTCAGAACTGGCACTGGGCACTGCTGCGGATATTCAACTATTCTCTGCTTTAACAAATTATTTATGTTTCGTTAACTTAAACGCTTAATATTTGTAACAGAAATAATTTGTTAAAGCAGAGAATAGTTGGTGTATGAAAAGTACATGTAAATATGAACTTTTCATATACCAACAATTCTCTGCTTTAATAATTTTATTTCTGTTTCGTTAACTTCAACGCTTAATATCTGTAACAGAAATAATTTGTGTTCCAAAATATTCTCTGTTGTAATCAAAACCGTAATGTAGCAGCGCTAAACAGTGACTGCTAAGTTGTAAAGCGCGTCATTGAGCATGCGCGTGTGGCCGCAGGGCATGGTCGTAGTCGCTGCATCTCGTCGGTATAACAGGAATCATAACCTGATTCCTGTCAACTTTAACCGTTAATATCTCGCTTCGCGGGGCAGAACGATACTTTTTTCTGCCAGATTCGGTCGTTTCGTGCAAAAACGCTCGATTAAGCCCAAGTTGAACGAAATCGGTGAGGAGGCCACTATTCTTCAGATTTACCCACAGAGTTGTTTTGGATGCTGAATTGAGAGAGGTTAACTTCACGGAAGATATTGATATTTTTTGTCTTATTCAAGAGAAAAACTGGGACGTGCTGTACATTATCTTCAAATACGTTAAAGCAACGGGCAGAATTATTTGACATTGGAGCTCGATATAATAATTGTACCCGGGTCAAGTTTTTTGGTTTTAGATGACTTTTTTTTATTGGGATTAGATTCTTTGTGCTAGTTGCTGTTGGGCAGAAGGCACATGACTGTCCTCATCCGAGGACTACTTGGAAAAAACCCCCTAATACGACGTGATGCCGATCGAGTCATTGCGAGTGGCCTAGTAATAGTTATTAATTAAATCAATCAATTGTTATATACTTCTAAATTATCTCCCAGTCATACTACAACTAAAAAATTCTAATGCAGTTAAAAGATCGCGATAAACGTATGATATTTTTATTATATAGACTGAGTTAAATTTAAAAGAAGCCGCCAACTGCTAGAAATAAATAAAATATGACTTGACAAATAAAAATGATATAGATTATTGCATATTAGAAGCTGCAGAAAGAACTCCGCAAATCAATGGAAAATGGCTTTCGGTCGCGAATAGGTTGAAATTTTGATATGTTGTAGTTTAAAGCTTTCTGATTAATAGTCCCAATGTAGGCACAAGTTTCGCAAATGGACCATTTTGGTGTTATTTAATTTTTTTTCATGCAGTGCTAGAACGAGCTTGCTTGCTAGAGCTACATAGTGTCAAAAAATTGAAAAGGACAACATTTTCTGATGAGCAATAATAACGACATATATCAATATTAAACTGTTTTCTATTTGCACTTATTGTGAGCAGCTTTTTAGAATATATGACGGCTGACGCGCGCGCATGGAAAAATCGATAATATTGATCTTTATCGATTAGAAAACCCGGGCCTAAACAAAAGGGGAACACGTGGCTGCGTAGCAAGTAGGAAGAAGAGAAGAGACACTTTCCTTCCGTCTATCGTAATGCTTAGTCATCCTCGAAGAGTTTTGTTCTGTATATTAAATTCATTGCGTAAATTTTTATTTCGGAGTTTCGTCTTGTATATATATTAAATTATAAATTCATAGCGTAAATTGTGATTTCTACTTATTGCGGACAGCGTCGATTGCCGAAGAAACTTGTGCAAAGAATTATTCACCCATGAAATAGAACCCAATACAACCACGTGGTTATCGTAATTGCCTCTGTAAGTAAAATAAATTTATATTTCTCCACCTCAAGTCTCTGTAATCTTGCAAATCTTATAAGTACTTTCCCTTGGTAAGATGGTCGTAAAGATTTATCAGTTCCTTCAAAACGCCCGAATTTCTTATCTTAACATTAACTGTTGAACTTGAAATTTATTAGAGTCTTGTCAGCCGAAGAACAGGTGTGAGTTTCCAATACAAAACTCTGTCTGAACTTGAAATATAAACCTAAAGACAAATTAACGAAAATGCGGAAGAAGGGAAAAAAAACACTTTCGATTTGGGATTACTTTACAATAATAGATGAAATGCGTATAATGTGCGACTGTTGTGATGATACATCAAGCATACCTTCAATGCGTGTGATGTGCGACCTTTGTGGTGAGACATTAAGCATACCAATTATGCGAAATACTCGCTTGGAAACAATTCATGAGTAAGTATACATTAAAGGTTTAATAAAATACTAAAGAATATAATATAGATAGTAATAAAATGTTGAATAGCTGAAGAAAATGTAGCGGATACAAATGTTAATCAAAGCATTTATATATAATAATTATTTTATCAATTATAATCAAAATTGCGTGTTTTCAAACGCAATTCCGTTTGTGATTCTATGTAATATTTAAGTCTTAATCGCTTCTATAAATGTTCGAATAATAAAATCCTTAAAGTGATAGCTTTGGCCTCCAAAGAAGTAGGGCATATAATTAGAACTAATATCATTGTATTTCTTATTTTTCTTTAGTCAATCTACATAATCAAGCTAAATGTAAGAAAACTGGTTCAAGTTCAAGCAGTGATTTAAATGATACGGACAATGATACAGACAAAAAAGATGAAACGTCAGGAAGACTCAGAAGCATCAGGAACAAGTGAAGAAAAAAGTAAAAAAATAAGTAAAGGAACAAGTGAAGGAAACAGTAAAGAAACAAGTGAAGAAAACAGTAAAGGATCAAGTAAAGGAATAAGTAAGTCATATGTCTAAAATTATGTCTTCATTATCACAATATCTTAACGAGTAATTATTTGCTTTGCACTTATTACACAGTATAACATGTAGATAAATCTTGTGAATTAAGCATTGCCCATTTTACAAAAGTATAATCTGTATCGTGTCATATAAAGTATTCATTTATGTATTAAGACAATTAAGCGTATCATTAACTATATGTACATTAATCAGGTTGCGTTTCTTTCTTCTACATTTTTATATTCCTATAAATTTAATAATAAGATAAATCGACAAATAAGCTACAGATATAAATATTAAATTTGAGCATTGAAAGAACTCTTACTGATTATTCAAATCCATTAGATATAATGTTTTTCGCTTATATACATGGTGTGTCCGGAAAGTAATGAGAATGATTTTTTTGCGCTCCCCAGGAAGGCTGCATGAGGAAAGTAATGGTCGAGAGTCCAGGTAGTTGAAGGGCCATCTCAGATATACAGTCGGACCCTCCTCAGTTGAGCCCGAACCCTTCGAACGGTCGGTACGTTACAGAAGTGCATCCTTGTTTTTCAATATATCGTCGTGGACGAAAATTCAGAGGAGCATTACGTAATTAAATCTTGCGTAAAACTTGGAAAAACAGCTTCTCAGAAACGTTAAAAATGTTGAAGACAACGTATAGGAAAGTATGCTTCGTCGTATGGAAGGGAAGTCGTTTAGGATAAACAGCACTCCGAAAACCAACCTTCGAAAGAAGCGTGCTCAACTGAGAAGAATCCAACCAAGATTCTCCCTTAACTACCTCGATCGGGCCCCACTTTCCTCACGCAGCCCTTTTGGATAGCGTAAAAAAATCATTCTCATTACTTTCCGGACACACCATGTAAATAAGTAATCGAGTTTAAAGTGATATAAAATGTAGGTGAAATCATAAAACAACGAATACATTAAATCACCGATGCAACTGCGGTTGCATCGACGATTAAATAATTAATAATTTTAATTAAAGCATTAATTTTTTTATTCTGTTTTGTGATTTTATCTTTAATTATATCACTAATTTACATTTATATCTTAAAGCACTTATGTGACACTCATGAAAAATGTAAAGGACACATCGATTATATGCTTACTTATTATAACATATGATAATATCACATAAGTGCATTTTTATATTCTTATCCACTCTTAAAAAAAGGCGTGTTAAGTCGATAGTCGAATTTATTG